TTTTTGTGTAAACACGTTCTCATTCCTATGGGATAAATGTCCAGGAGTGCAATTGCTGGGTCCTAAGGTAGTTGCATGTCCAGTTACCTTCAAAGTGACTATGCCATTTTACATTCCAACCAGCAGTGTATGAGTGGTGTAGTTTCTGTGTCTTTTTGCCAAGATGTCACTGTTTCTGTGTTTTTTCTAATTTTAACCATTCAGTACATGTGGAATGATATCTCACTAATTAAAATGTAATTTTAATTTCCCTAATGGCTGAAGATGTTGAACAGTTTTTCACATGTTAAGTTTCTCTGTTGACCTCCTCAGTGAATACAGTTGGTATTTGTATATTAATCTTGTGTCCTACAACCCTCTTAAACTCCTTTATTAGCTCTTGGAGGTTTTTTGGTGGTCCCAGAGGATTTTCCACATAGACAATCATATTGTTGGTAATTACGGACAGTTTATTTCCTCCTTTCCAATCTGGTTTCCCTTTCTCTCTTTTGTTTTATTACAGTGGCTCAGACCTCCAAGTATGATGTTAAATAGGAGTGGTACAAGCAGACTTCTCTGACTGGTTCCTGACTTTAGGGAGAAACTACTCAAATTTTTTACCATTAACTATGATGTTAGTTGTGCTTTTTGGTAGATGCTCTTTAGATTAAGGAAGTTTCCCCTTATATCTAGTTAGCTGAGAGTTTTCATTATAAATTGTGTCAATTTTTGTCCAATACTTTTTCTGTATTGCTTGAGGTGATTTTTTTGGTCTTTGGTCTGTTCAGTGGCCAATTACAATGACTGGTTTTTGAATGCTGAACCGCTCCTACATTCCCACTGTCGTGATGTATTAGCCTTTTTCATACTGTTGGATTCAGTTGGATTCAGCTAAAATTTTAAGAATGTTTGGATCTATGTTCCTACAAGATATTGGTCTGTAGTTTAATTTTCTGATATTTTTGTCTTTTTTTTTAATCAGAATAATTCTGGCCTCAGAGGATGAATTGGGAATTGTTTCCTCCTCTTCAAGTTTCTGTAAGACTTTGTGTAAAATTGGTAGTATTTTTCCCCTTAAACATTGGGCATAACTCACCAGTGAAGCCATTTGAGCCTGGAGTTTTCTCAGTGAAAGAGTTCTAAGGAATTCAGTTTCTTTAACAGATACTTGGGTTGTCCATTTCTTCTTCTGGGAACTTCAATATTTCATGTCTTTAAAGGAATTTGTCCATTTTATCAAAGTTTTTGGGTTTATTAAAGTTGCTTATAATCTTCCCTTATATATTATCCTTCTTAAGTATGTAAGATTTGTAGTGATATCCCCATTGTTGATTTTTTAGAAGTATTCCACTGTGGGCAGACAGTATGTAATCTGAATCATTTTAAATTTATCGAGATATGTTTTATGGCTATGATATGGTCTATCTTATAAATGTTCTTCTGTGTGCACTTGAAAGGAATATTCTCCATTGTTTGGTTGAGTATTCTATTGATAAGGAAAATATTCAACACAGCCCACAAGGTCAGCAAACCACTTTTTTCCTCCAGTTGGCAAAACCCTCCCAGCTGCCCCCTCCCCTCCTCCAGGCTCCTCTGTTGCCCTGCACGTGCCGAAATGCCACGTATCAAAATAATACAAATTGCTCCCCTTGCTTGTGCTCAGGGCTCAGACCTTGGGAGATCACTCCCCTCTGAGCCCGCCGGTGTGAAATAAACCTCAACACACCAACACCTCTGAGTGCTGCTTGGTTCCTCCGTCAGTGATCCAGTCCAGGTTTTCCAGTGTTTTCTGTAACACCATAAATGTCAATTAGGACAGATTGGCTGGTAGTGTTGTTCAAATCTAATGTAGCCTTCCAAATTTCTTGTTTACTTTTTCTATCAGTTATTGAAAGAGGGAAATTAAAACTTCCAACAATAATTGTGTGGGTTTTTTTCTTTTCCTTTCTGTCTATGAAGTTTTTTTCTTCAGATATTAGATGCATAAAAATGCATGATTGTTTTATCCTTGTGATGAGTTGACTCCTTTGTCATTATGAAGTGACCTTCTCTATCTCTGATGATAGCCTTTGCTCAGAAAGCTACTTGGCCTGATGTTAATATTGCTGCTCCAGCTGTCCTCTGATTGGTATTAGCATGCTGTCTCCTTTTCTATCCCCCTGATTTGTGCTTTTATACTCAAAGTGGGTTTCTCTTCCATTTTATAAGCATTAGAAGGGATTGTAGAAATACAAACCACGAAGCACACACTACAGTAAAAATTGTTGTAGGCACGTTCCACTAATGAATGATAAATTAATGAGTGAAAATTTAAGGAGAAAAAGTTCATAATTTCAAAGAAGCCTCCCCTATGATACTAATGAGGAGGGGGAAATAGTAACTTTATGTGGAGAATCTAGGCAAACACCACCTTAGACACATGATCAAGATTAGCATCACCAATAATAAGACTTAGTGACATCATGTCCCTAGCCCCGGATATAACAGACCAAGAAAGGCACATCACCCCTGTGGTATTCCTGCCCAAAACATATGGCCTCAGTCTAATAATGAGACCACCCCAAGCAAAACCAAACTGAAAGACATTCCACAAAGTCACCAGTGTTTCCAAAGTGTTGAGGTCATGAAAGACACTGGAAAGACTGAAGAACAGTCCCGGACTGGAGGGCCCTAAGGAGACAGGACCATTAAACACAGCATGGATCCATGATTGGGTCCTGGAACAGAAATGGGGTGTTAATGGACCAGCCAGTGAAATTCCAATTAGCTCTGTAATTCAGTTAGTAATACTGTATGAATGTTGATTTCCTAATTTTGATAATTTTACCATGGTTCTATCAGGTTCTGTTAGGAGAAGCTAGAAGAAATAGTGAGGGAACTCCACACTATTTTTGCTGCTTTTATTTGAATCTAAAATTATTTCAAAATAAAAGTTTAAAATAATAATAATAAAGTGGTTGTCTTTTAGGTAACATAGTTGAATGTTGTCTTTTTAAGATGTCCAGTCTGATAGTCTGTGCCTTTTCATTTAGTTTTGATATATGATTAATTTAATCTTATTTATTTATTTTTTTGATAACATGGGTGGATGTATTAAGATTTGAGTGCAAACTTAAAAACAAGAACAAAGCTTTTCATCAAGAACAAACACCAAAACCTAAGAAACAATCTTGCAATCGTGCATTTTAACAGAAAGTATAAATATGAATACATTTTACCTTGTCACTACATTTGAAAATTAAAATCTCTCTTTCCAAATCCCAAATACCACACATATCTTGCTTGTTGTAAATAATGCTAGAATGAACATAGGGATGCGTATCTTTTCAAATTAGTGTTTTTGTTTTCTTCAGGTAAATACCCACAGGTGGAATTACTGAGTCATATGCTATTTCTAATTTTTTGAGGACCCTCCATACTGTTTTACATAGTGGCTGCACCAGTTTACATTCCCACAACAGTGCCTGAGGGAGCCCTTTTCTCCACATCCTCATCAACACTTCTTTCTTATCTTTTGGATAGTGGCCTTTCTGTCTGGTGTGAGGTGATACCTCTTTGTGGTTTTGATTTGCATTTCCCTGGTGATTAGTGATGTGGGACATCTTTTCATGTATCTGTTGGTCCTCTATATGTCATTTTTGGAAAAATGTCTTGTTCAGGTCGTCTGCCTCTTTTTTATAGGATTGTTTGGGGGTTTATTTGGTGTTGAGTGGTATGAGTTCTATATATATATTTTGGATATCACCCCCTTATTGGATAGGTCATTTGCAAAACCTTCTCCCATTAAGCAGGTTGCCTTTTTGTTTTGTTGGTGGTTTCCTTTGCTGTGCGAAACTTTGTTTCTAGGAGCCAGACCCTGGGAACTCCCAAATGTTCATCAAGAAGTGACTGGATAAACAGTTTTAACACCCATAGAGTAGAATATTGAACCATAAAAAGTCATGACTATTTATACATGCAACACTATGGCTGAATCTCAAAACCATTATGCTGAGCCACAGAAGCCAGAGCAAAATAGTATGTGCTGTGTGATTCCTTTCACATCCAACTCAAAAACAAACTAATCCATGGACACAAAGGAGAGGTGCACTCACCTGGGGATGGAGATGGAGATGGAGGATTGATAGCAAAAGGGTGTAAGGAAACGTTTGGTGGAAAAGGGAATTTTTGTGTGCAGGGATGGTTTTATAGGCAGATGTCAGTACTAAAGTGAAATATTGTGAAAGTAGTTTACGGTATGCTAATTACATATGTCAATAGCATTGAAAAAATAAATTGAAAATGAGGGGTTTGGACTCCATTTGAGAAATGCGTATTTCTCATTAGTGACCCATGTGTATAAAAGTTCCTAAGTATAAGTTATGTATAAGTATAATCCTAAGTATGATTTTTTTAAAGGTATAATAGTAATGAAGTTTAATTTGTTGATAGTTTTCAAGAACACTTTTAGTAGCTTGACATGTGTAAAATTGTATACACACTAAGTGTACAGTTATAAACCAGTGATTGTTCCATTTTGCTCTAATGAACGTGAGTGTTGGTGTAGAGACCATGCTGTCCTCAGAACCTGTGGACTTGAGTGAAAAGGCCATGGTTTCTGAAAACCAGGTAGATGCGGGCTTTCTAGCCTGACAGTGTGGGATAATTCTAGGAGTTGAATACTTACTCTCTAATTTTCTAGAAGTTACTTGTAATGAAAAAGGAATTTTAGGCTTAGTTTGCCTGCAGAGAAGTTTACATCCCATAGCTGTACAGTCCACTGCAGTTTCACACAACGACTATACCCATGTGAATAGCTCCCAGATCAAGAAACAGAGCGCTGCCTGATACTGTTCAAAATGCAGTTCTTGCTGGGCTGATTCGGTGAAACTGAACGTATGCTGAATGGCCATGACGGGACGGTGTTCAGCTCTGAAGTCTCTGACACTGGGATTGTAGGCTATACAAAAATTGTTCTGTTTACTTTTATTGGCATACACATAGCTCTTATTTTGTTAAATCAAGATATTTTCTCTTGGCAGTGGACTCTCGAAAAATTGACCAGGAGGGGAAAATCCCAGAGGAAACTTTAGAGAAACTGAAGAGCCTGGGGCTTTTCGGGATGCAAGTCCCAGAAGAATATGGTAAGTAAAGGAAAACAGCACCCCACTGGCTTTACAAGAGCACTTCAGATCTGTCTGAAAAGAATTCTGTTTGGGAAAGGTGGCCCTTACATGCAGTATGTCCCAGATCAAGTCATAAAACTGCTGGACTTCATACAAATGCACATTGTGGGCTGCAAGTGTGTGTTGACTCGGGGGCTTGTGAGCAGGAAGAGCTGTGGGGTTTTGTGCTTTCTTCATCTGGAGTGGATGAGGCCCACCGCCGGATATGTGCCTTCTGGATCCCTGTGCGCAGCGGAGTGTGTCACCTCCAAGCCAAACTGGCTGATGCCCTGTCATCTCCCCTGGGAAGCCGTTTGCCAGCTTCTCGTCCTGGGGCAGAGGAGTAAAGCTTATAGAGGCAGTGATCTGATCAGCAGGAACCTTCAAGCAAGGTCCGTTGACCTTTGAACTGTCCCTCTAATTCTTGGATCAGGACAGTGATGTTTTCAGTCCCACGTGCAAGACCTTGCCTTTCTCTGCAGGATCCCAGTGTAATTCTGCTTTATAGATGTGGCCAGTCCCTCCAGCTTGTCTCCCTTCTGCCTAATCTAGAGTTGGTCATCTAAATTCAGTGGGGATTAAAGAGACAGGCAAGAACTATGTCGGGAGAGAGGAATGGAAAACATTTCAAAGAATCAGGAAGGATGTGATCATGTACGTGCATGTGGGCACATCCACCCACCATTTATTTGACTCTCAGGTCCTTGTGCAATCACCATGTGGCTCTGGGCTTTACAGCCTGCCCCCTGCGCCCACCACTCTCTGAGCCCTCCCTGGGGCTGCTTCCAGCTCTGTTCAGCTGAGGATCAGGAGCTCAGGGGGGACGGCTGGTGGTGGTGCTCTAAGGGCTGGCATATTTTGTGGCTGTGAGCTGGCCGTTTGGAGGTTTAATATTTGGGGCATTTTCCCAGCCAGGTTATGAGTTAGGTTTTTGCACAGCTAGTCACAGAGACCAGGAGCTTTCCTGATGTTGTGTCCTTGCCTGCTTTACTTCTAAAGACTGAAGTTAGGGCTGTCCCCCCACCTGCTGCCGCCAAGGATGGGGACCCTCAGTGTTTGTAGAATAAGTTCCCACCTGGCCCAGAGCTGGTCCAGTCTGAGACAAAATGAAAATTCAGGGCAGACTAGTGTGGTGCCGGGTGTGTACCTGAGGCACATTTTCATTAAGCTAAATCTTAGTTTACATGTATGTTTATTGCAGTGTTTTAAGCTATTAAATGACGTCCATCCTTGTCATCCAATGAAATACCTCTTTCCACATGTCCAGACGTATAGAAAAATCAGCCCATCTGCAGAAGATGCAAGCGCTTCAGCGGTGCTGCTGCCCCTAGTGGGCAGGCCGCTGTGCTCTCTGCAAGGGAAGCTTTGCAGCCCCATCTCCTGCCTAAACTCTGGCTGCTGCGTCGGGAGGCAAGACTGAGCTCTGCTTGGAGAGCTGAGACTTGTCAGCAGTGTAACTCCCGAGGGACGGGTAGTTGGCTCTGTGCCTGCCAACCGGCGTGGAGTATTAAAATGGAAAGATGGCGGGGTAGGGCTGGAGAGTCCGGGTTGGGCCATCCTCAGCTAAAAAAAATCAGGGCTTGGAGAAAACAGTAGCAGAAGAAAGCTACTGAACACAGACAGGTTAGTAATAATGTGTATTCGCCTGAAAACTCCTCTTAAAATTCTCTTGATTGATGGAACAGTTTCCCCTCCGAAACAACCTCTGTGTAAATCTGGTACATGCATGTGCTTTATGCTAGCACATATGGGAGGGGTGATTGGTATGAGGTGGTGCCACCCCATATCCCTTATTCTTGTTTTGTGTCCTATTCTCTGGTGTGAAACTGCTCTTCCTTTCCTGAAATGAGTTTGGGGCTGCCTGGCTCTCCCTCTGTCTCTCTTCTTTCTTTCTTTACCCTTCTTTGAGAAATTAAGGCAACAGCAGCCTCATGTTTGTGCCCAAACATTTTTGGGTGAATGTTCACAGTCTGGCATTTTCCTGAGACTAGTTGGAAACCACAGTTCTGGAAAACAGAGGGCCTTCCTGTTGCCCCCTGAGCCTGGGTTTCCCCCCCCCAGGTCCCTGTGTGCCACTTGGATACATGGACCCTTCCTGCCCCTCAGCCCTCCGCCCATCAGTGGTCTCCACGCACCTGTCACCTGACCTCAGATGACTGCTGTCCCCCTGTGATTTTAGTGATTGGTTCTTGAGAGGAAAGCATCCGCCTGTTTTTTTTTTTAACAAAACTGTCTGCCTCAGGATATGAAATGAGTAAGAGTGGAAGTGTTTTGATTGAAACAGGGCAGGAGGTGGGTACAGGCAGTGTCCTTTGCGTGTGAGTGGTGCCTGCAGTTGGGCAGTGGCTGCAAGGCCAGCTCCCTTGCTCGAGGCCCAGCCCTACTGACTTGTTGGCCACATGACCTTGGGCCTCAGTTTGTCATTTGTAAGGTGCACATAAGCCCACCCGGCCATTTCTAGAGGTTAAAGATGAAATACAAGATACACAAGGCCGGTGGGCTTTGTTTCTTTAATCATGTTGTCTTGTACTCCTAGAGCGGTGGGTGCTGCCCAGCCAGGGTGAGTTTAGCCCTCCAGGGAACGCTTGGCAGCACCTTACAGACTTTTCTGGTTGTCAGAACTGGGGGGAGCGGGAACTGCTGGCTTGCAGTGGGCAGGGGCCCAGGGTGCTGCTGAACATCCAGCAGTCACAGGACCGTCCCCACGACAAGGAATGGCCCGACTCGAGGGGTCAGTACTGCCACGGCGGGGACACCTGTCCGGACGTCCAGGGTACTGGGACTGGGGCCTGGATAGTTGTCCCGTTTGTAAAGATCTGTATTTGTGGCAGAAGATATTCACACCATATTAAATAATCTAGCATAGATAGAGATATTTTGATTTATTGTGTATTAAATATTTTTATATTAGAAATACATATGTACCTGCCTAGAAAAAAGGCTGAAAGGATATGCACAGGAATGTCTGTGTGGTAGGTTTATGGGTGATTGCAGTTTTCCTGGTACCTTTCCGTTTGGTGATTTTTTTTAATGGTAGGTAATCTGACATTACTTCATAATCAGAAAAACCACTAAAGCCATGTGCCTGTAACAGGAGGAATCTGGGGCTGGACCTCAAGTAAAGCTGGGCTGTTCCTTCTCCAGGTGGCCTGGGCCTCTCCAACACCATGTATGCACGTCTGGGGGAAATCGTCAGCCTGGATGGGTCGATCGCCGTGACCCTGGCAGCTCATCAGGCCATTGGCCTCAAGGTCAAGTGTGTGCAGTTTCTGGCTGATGCTCAAGGTCTTCTGGAGTCGCACGTGGCACTGAGGCCAGAGGCCTGCTCGCCTTCACCCAGAAGGGAATGGGTCTTGTGGACTCAGGGTCTTGGAGGAGGGCCCGGGCTGCTCCTGCAGAGCCTCCGTCGTGCACACACCCTCCCCAGCACCCCGAGCAACAGCCCTCTGATTGCACTGTCCCTTCCCTTGAACCCTCCTCCTGTCCCCACCACCTGTGACACATCCTTTGAGGCGTGGGCCAGGTGCTGCCGCCTCTGTGGAGCTGCCTGTTCCTGGGGCTGCCAGGCAGCCTCCCCCAGCCCTTGAGTCGCTCTCCCGGGGCCAGACGCGTCCTCCCTGCAGTCTGCGCACGTATTCCTTACCCTGCTGGGCCTGCAGCATTTCTGGGCAAGGCTAGGGTCACACAGCTCTTAGTAACAGTCCCATTACTCCGGATGTTTTTGTTCAATGTAGAGATCAAGGGTGCTGAATGAGCAGTGAGCTCTCCCCTACCCCCAAGAGCATGTGGTCACTGTGCAGTCCCTCAGGAAGAGGGGACTCTCCACTTGGCAGGGCGGGGCAGCTCTCACCCTGACTGAGCACCTCCTATGCCAGCTGTGGTTCTGGCACAACTGCGTCTCCACATTTTATCACCCAGACCCCTTCCCCTGGGTAGGATTACCCCCAGTGTGTCAGTGATGAGATGGAGGCTCAGAGCAGGGACGTCCCTTGCCCAGGGCCACCCCCTGGGAAGTGGAGGCACAGCAGTGAAACTACCCGAGTCCGACCCCTGGGGACGGCCGCTGTCCTCCAGGCCAGGCAGCCATCCCCTGTCCATTTCTCCCTGAGGCTGCCACCTGAGCTCGGGATGTCCCCTCATGCACGTAGTAATCATGTTCTCCAGAAGGGCCCACGTGCAGCAAGCACATCGTACACACTGTCTTCTCCCCGCAGCTGATGTCAGCCTTGTGTGCTTTGTCTAGGGGATCATCTTGGTGGGCACCGAGGAGCAGAAGGCCAAATACCTGCCCAGACTGGCATCCGGTGAGCACATCGCCGCCTTCTGCCTGACGGAGCTGAGCAGGTCTGTCCCTCGCAGGAGGCTCCCCATGGTGTGCACAGCATCTCCCGGGGGCCCTGGGGTGAGGGCTGTAGTTTTTGTGAAAGAGGTGGTGACTTTCCTTTCTGCCTCCCTGGAATTTCCAGAGAGTCCACTTAGCAACTTTTCTTGCCAGTTCTCTTCTTGTTCTCTTATATTTACCTTATTTCTCTGTCCCAGCAAGACTTAACAGACTAACATACCTGACGGCACCTAGCAAATAATTTTTTTTTTGTATTTTGCAACACACATTATATATGATAATAGATTCAGGCTTCAGAGTACCTGTCAGAGTATGTAGGACAGGTGGTATTGTTCCCGTTTAACATACCAGGAACTGGGGTTCAGTGACGTGTGTCCCTGGCCCCAGATCACACAGCTAGGGCCTGACCAGGCCGGCACAGGACCCAGGCTTTGTTGTGATGGCAGGTGCACTGCTGGGACCACACTCCACCCTGGAGCCCAGGTGCCCTGAACCCTCCTCAGAAGAGCTCGGAGAAGCCCACTCCAAGCAGGCACTGCCACGTTCAGACCTGAGTGCAAGTGGTCATGTGATAAAGCAGGAGTAGGCCTCAGCGCCTGCTGCCTGTTCCTGCAAACAGTTTTACTGGAATATTCCACCTGCTCTTACACCCCACAGCAGCAGAGTTGAGGACACCCTGCCACCTACAAAGCTGAATATATTTATTATCTGACCCTTTATCTTCAAAGCTTGCCAACTCCTGTGTTTAAAGTTCTGAACACCTCCACTGGGAGCCCTGGAAACCATTCTGGATTCCCAGCACTGACCCTGCACCACCTGTTTCTGCTTCCGCAGTGGGAGTGATGCTGCCTCCATCCAGGCCAGGGCCACGTTGAGTGAGGACAGGAAGCACTACGTCCTCAACGGCTCCAAGGTACAGCCCGTGGCCTCACCGGGGCCCTCCTCGCAGCCTTCACCACCATGCACCACCATGTCGTGTGCTCTCCTTTCGGGGAAGATACTGGGGCAAACAGAGGTGAAGTGACTGGCACATCCTCTGCGCACTTGGTGGCAGAACCACGACTGGAACGAAGGTGTCCTCGTTGGTCACACCTAGACCAGCTCCCTCCCTGAGCTGCTGTTGTGTTGGATTTTTAGTTCTTTATTACACAGAATCTCAAATGTGCAAAAGCTGAGCATAGTGAACTAGCATGTTCCTGCCACCTGCTCAGCAGCCATTAGCCATTAGCCATTAGCCACCAGCCACGTTTTTTTGGCCAGCATCGCCAGACCCGGTTGCATCTGCGGCGATAGCAGCCTACGTCTCTACAAGACCATTGCCACTTGGAAAAGTGGATAGTCATTTTTTACTGTCTAGTCAAAACTCCCCTAATCATCCCCAACATTTTTGCTCCTCAGTTACCCAAATCAAGATCCAGATAGGTCTCATACACTGCAGTTTGTTGAACAGGCCCTGTGTCTCTGCCCTCCCTGCCCTCCCTCCTGCTTCTTGAGGAACCTGGTGATTTGGTGCTCAGGCCCGTTGGCCTCCCTTCTGCACATACAGCCGCCATGTCTCTGGGCAGACAGGAGAGCCATCTTCTGTCCCCACAGGCTTGGCTTACCTGGGGCCGCGGGCTGTCCTGTGTCTGGCCTGTGGGATGTAGGGCGTCCCAGGGCCCAGGCAGGGCTGTGATGGTGCCTGGTGGGGTGGCTGTCCCCAGAGCTTTTCTCTTTCCCTAGGTCTGGATCACCAATGGAGGACTGGCTGATATTTTTACCGTGTTTGCAAAGACCCAGGTTGCTGATGCCGACAACTCAGTGAAAGACAAAATCACAGCATTTATAGTCGAGAGGAACTTCGGCGGAATCACGAACGGCAAGCCCGAGGACAAGTTAGGCATCCGCGGCTCCAACAGTAGGTAGCCTGCGCAGACAGAGTCCCTTCAGGCCCATTCAAACTCGAGACAATGCAATTTAAATAGTTTTCATTCCACATAAGGATTTTAGCAAAGTCAAGTTAATGCCACAGTGACACTTCCATGGCCATGCAAATGAGCTCCTCACTGTTAACTCATTATTTCAGCCAGCACTGGCTGTGCACCTCTACACAGTGGGCCGGGCCTGGGGGACCTACCACGGCCTCCTGGAGCCCCCGGCTCTGGGCAGGAGGCAGCAGTGACCCTAGGAAGGACAGCGAGGTGTCCAGGTAGCTCTTCTGTCACAGGAAGCCCCGACTGTCCTGGAGCCACCGCCTCCCTCTCGCCCTCCCTGTTGCCCGTCCAGACCAGCCTGGGGCAGTTGGTTCACTCAAGGCCGGTCCCGTAAGGGGCCCTCGACTCTGCTGCCTCGGGCCTCCCTGGACGCCACTCCTTGGGCCCTTCACTCAGATCGTGGAATGTCTGTGCTGCAGGGGACTGCATGCTGCCCATGGCCCCTCCGGCCCCGCTTGGGTTTGCCACCTCATCTTCAGGGGCCCTGTGGCCTGGACGGCAGTGTTTGTCATAATAGCAGCCCGGCCTGGGGGTGAGAGGCCCTGAGCTCTGGCCTGGCTCCCTGCTGAGAAGCTAGACCTCCAGCAAGCTAGTTTCTTTCTCTATGCCTCAGTTTCCTTACCGAAAGGAAAGGGGTGATAACAGACCCATCTTGTGATGTGTCTTGAGAAGGAGTGCTCCAACATGTGTCAGATGCTGGGTCACATGGAGGCAGGACGGTGCTGACAGCTGTGGTTCCTACATTACCACCACACCGGCACTGCCTATTGAGAGCTGCCTCAGAGTATTCCAGCAGGGTAGCAAAAGGAGTGTGTGCAAAGGTCCTGAGATAGGAGAGAGCCTGGTGTGCTGGGTGGGGATGAGGCGGCCCGAGAGCCCAAGGTGGGGGGAGGGACAGGGCTGCCCACGGGCACCACCGGGAGGCACTGTCCACACTGGCATCAGGGTGGGTGGCACCCGCTGGGATTGTGCAGTGGCCTCTCGAGGTGGCACGAGATGCGGTCAGAGGGGGCAGTGGGGTCCTCTCCATACCTAGCAGCCCATGAAGAACAAGGCCATTAGAAGGGCCTGGCCCCGCAGCCGTGTACAGAGAGCCGTGAGCAACCCAGTGGTGGGAGAGGTAGGGAGCTGACTGTCACCCAGGCACCAAGCACAGCTGTGGGCAGATGACAGACCAGCCTGCCTGGCCTTTGGCCCACATGTGGCTTGTTGTGCTTGGCCGCTCTTGAGTGTTGACCTGCCTTCCACCAGGATGAGTGCTGAGATCTGCAGTATTTATAAAACATAACACACAGCAACATGCTGCTTCAGAAAGCCCAGCTCAGAAACCCGCTTCCCCTCACCCCTGCCCCACTATCCCCCCTGTGCCTGCCTCTCAGCGCTCTCCCTCCCGCTGCCAGGCGCTTCCTCCCTGCAAAGTCCTCCGTCCTCTGGCATGGCCCTAACCTTGAGAAGCCCCGGATGCCGCTGCCACAGCAGGCGCTTATTTCTCCCTCACAGGGTGGGGAGCTGGGCCCAGACCTGCTGCATGGGTTTCCCCTACTGCTCAGGCACCTTCACACAGGGCCAAGCTGACTGCATAGCACAGTCAAGGCCACCACGTCCCCCAGACTTCTGCTAGATGTCCGCTTAGCAAAGTCTGACATGAACCCTCAGTAGAAACCCCCCGCACCTCAGAGGTTCCCTCCGCAGCCCCAGCCTCCTGTTCTCTCTCTGTGCCCTGTTTATTTCAGTCACAGCACTTTCCACATTATGCTGTCATCTCTTAGTGTTTTATCTCCACACCAAGGAGGAGCTCCTGTGGGCAGGGAGCTTGCCTCTCTGTGCCGTCCTACTAGCAGATGTAGACAGAAGGAGGGAACTGCACTGCAGGCCTGCGGGTCAAGTGCAGCGTGCCATGCATTTGTCGGATGAGGCCTTCCATTTCATGTTTTTTAGCTTGTGAAGTCCATTTTGAAAACACCAGGGTGCCAGTGGAGAATGTCCTTGGAGAAGTTGGAGGCGGGTTTAAGGTGAGAGGCCAGCAGCCCCACGGTGCCCCGAAGCTGCGTGGTGCAGCTTATCCTATCCCGGCCCTGAAGGGAGCAGGCCAGCCTGGGCTTGCCAGGTGACCACCCTCTCTGAAGGGGAGTCAGTGAAGTGGGGACTGGGCATAATTGGCTCCCAGAAGACAGCGTGTGTGGTTAGGACCAGGGCTCTTCCTCGTTCCCCGTGAGCAGGGATGGGGTTCTCCTCTCCAGCAAGCGCAGGAAGGCAGGCTGGTGGCGCTGATTCTCTGGATGCACGAGCCTGGGTCCTGACTCCCTGCCCTAATATTTTTTTCTTGGAGTCAGATTTATTGTTCTCTCTTGACAGATAGCTCACATAATATAAAATACACCATTTTCAAATGTACACTTGTATGGTTTTTAGTCCATTCCCTATGTTGTGCAACCATCACCACTGTAATTGCAGAGTATCCTGGGACAGAAACCCCACCCCTTCTCGCCTCCCCTCTGCCATCCCTTGGCTGCTGTACTTTGTTGCTGTGGACTGGCCCACTCTGAACATTCCATATAAAGGGAAACCGTGTGGTTTTCTGTGTCTGGCTTTCCACACAGAGCATCATGTTTCCAGGGTTCATCCGGGTTGCAGCCCGTGTCGCTCCTTTCCTGGCTGAGTGGGGATGAGGCTACATTGTGTGGCCAGACTGCACTGAATTTGTTTACCAGCTAGTGGGCATTTGGGTGGTTCCACTGTGGGGCTCTGAGTAGTCCTGCTGCCATGAGCGTTCACCCACAAGCTTTTGTGTGAGCCGTGTTTTTAGTGTTTTGCACCTAGAGTACAGCTGCTTGTCAGATGGTGACTGTATGTTTGCCTCGCTGAGGAACTGCCCTCGTTTCCCATGTGGCAAAGGAAAGTGTAGAGGCACAAAGTAGGGTCCGGTTCCTCCACATACGCATTATGCTTGTTACTGTTCAGGTGAAGAATGGTGGCCCTCCCCGGGGGTTGAAGTGGCATCTCATTATGGTTGGATTGGCACTTCCCTGACGGCCAACTATGTTGAGCATCTTTCCATGTGCTTCTTGGCTGGTTGCATTTCTTTGGAGAAATGTCTTTTCAAACCTTTGGCCCATTTGTCTTGTTAACTGATGACCTGGCCTAATTTTCTGGGTGACCTGGCAGGTATCTTCACCACCCACCTTGGCTGTGAGGCAAGCAGACATCGAAGCAGTCCCTCAGCCCCTCCTGAGTGTCCTGAGAATCCAGTAAACACCTCAGACAAAGCTCCTGGCACGGGGTGGCTCAGCACCTGTCAGCCAGAGGGCTGCACCAGTGGGAGGACAAAAGGGGCGAGTGTGTGCACAGCAGCAGGCTTGTGTGTTACCTGTGTGACCCAAAAGATACATGCAGAGAAGAGAATAGAGGCAGAGGTGGACGGACGGAACAAAGGGAACTGTCGTTCACTGTTCTCATTTTAGGTGCTTATCTTTGTGGATCTTTGTAATGAGTACACATCATTAATTATTTGGTGTGTGTGGGTAATACAGCCTGAACTTACCCACTTATCAGTAAATCCTAATAATTGTTCTGTGCTGGTAAATGTATATCACTAGTGTTTATTGCCACATACAATTTCTTCGTGTGGCAATGCCACATCTGATATTCCCAGGATCGGGCATTGAACATTGTTTCCACTTTTCCTTTACTCAGAGCCACACTGCATGGTATATATCCTTGAACATATCTTTCTTTACACACCTGTCTGATTCTTTCCTGAGTTTAACCACCCCCAGGAATCACTGGGTCAGAGGGTGTGCTCATAAGTTGACAGGTTGCCTGCTGCTCCAGTGTTGTGTGAGAATGCCCCTTCCCAACACCACACTTAACTGTTTTCCATTGTGTTAGGTAGAAATGATTGCTTTCGCATGCAGAAGGAATAGATTTCTGAAGTCCTTCCCTGCCTGCCAGTTAGTCTAAATGTTAAAGACTGAGATTATACCAGAGATTCCAGAGATCGTGGTGACCAGAGGCAGGTGAAAATTGAGTGGCTGAATGTGAGTAGGAGCTGCTTCCTCTGGGTAGTCAGACCTCAGGGCAGAGCAGGGAGCCCAGCACAGGGCTGCCCCTAGCGACGGAGCACAGTATCTTGCTGCTGGAAAAACTGTGTTCTGGGATGTAGTGGAAAATACATGTAGTGGAGCTAGCTGTTCTGTGGTCAAGCAGTGATAGGGCAGAGGAGAAGGCCCCAGGGTAAGTAGACATCCTTGCCTGGCCCAGGAGCCTGTCTGTAGATGGGCCTAAGCCCCCAAGGTCTTTGATCCTCTGGGGAGTTAAGACCTGGTCTCAAATCCTTTTTTCCTTCTTTTTCTTTTATGAGGTTAAGCATAACCTCTGAAGATGCTATGAAGCAGATTTTGTTCACTGAACTTTAAGGTGGCTTTCAAAAGCCCATCTGGGAAGAGGGAATGAAGGTGGGGAGTTAGTTCCTCTTCCTAGTCCTGCAGGTCCAGGCAGGCCCGTGTTGCCTGTATCCTGGGACACATACAGTCTGAAGTTCCTGGAGGAAGCAGGGCAGGATCTGAATGTCACACCACAGGGGCCTTACTCCAGCCTCTTCCCCCAGCCAGCACCCATGCCTCCCAGTCCCCTGGGCCTGAGCACTTGCCCTTTGCAGTAGCTGGAGCACCTGTTTCCACCATCCATCATCCTCCAGGGTCTGTTTTGAGATATTCTCCTATTCAGGGTCATAAGCGAGCATAAATTCAAGTTCAGTTGCATGTTGTTGCCATCCAGGTCACATGTAAGGAAGCATTTGGTGGAAAGCAGTGTGTTTGATATTGAGCTTTTAGGAAAACTATGGGGTTTGCAGACTTCTGTCTGTGCCCAGATGCCAGCCCTGCCTCTGAGGCCTCCTAACAGGCCAAGTGGGCTTGAGCAGTCTTGGCAGGTCCCTGCTGTCTGTCAGGAGCCTTGTGCTGACCATGTGCCTGGGGTGTGCCCTCGCTCCCCGGATGGCTTGCTGGACCAGCTCCAGGGCTCCTTGAAAGCCCTTGCTGCCCGCATCACCTCCCTGACACACCAAAGCCCTCCCCAGTCAGCTGTCTGCCTCTGCGCCCCTCTGGGTCTGAAGGGGATGCCGCCATGAGTCTGGGTGCCTGAATACTTCGGAAGCTGTGTGTGTAGACAGGCACGTGCCTGTCCCTCATCACCAACTGCTCACCGTCTGCATTAGGTAGGAGGGTAGGGTTGGAAAGGAGAGAAGAGGGTGGAGCAGGTGATGCTGCAGGTCCTGGGGTGGAGGGAGGCACGCCGCTGTCTGAACATCGTCTCAGTGGGAGGGGCTGGATCCCTAGAGAGAGCATGTGTCTGGGTGGCAGATGGATGCCTGCTGTGTGACCTCAGGAGGGTCACCTCGTCACACTGAACCTTAGATCCTTCATCTGTGAAACGAGGATCATGACGCTGATGCCTTGGTAGGAAAGTCAGAGGTGCTTGCAGCAAGTTTTAGTTTTTACTCCCTTCCCTGAGGACTCAGAGAATCGGCCTGGCCTTCCGGAATGTTGTCCAGCTCTGTTGGGTGGAGGGCAACCCCCGGACATTTGTGAGAGGCATCACAGTGACCACATGGCTGTCATTTGAAGCACTGGGACTGGGCTCTGTCCCAGCCCCATGAGGACGGGCAGGATAGGGAACTCAGCCCAGCTGCTGGTACAGACTCGCCTTTTGTTTTCAGGAAATATTCTGGTAAAAACAGGCAAAGTGCTGGGGTGGTGTGTCACGCCTGGTGCTCAGCCCGTGGCTGTTCCCAGCCGCAGTCCCCCGGTAGCTGCCTCGAGGGGCTGGGACCTCAGGGCCTGCCCGCTGTCCCCGCAGGTGGCCATGAACATCCTCAACAGTGGGCGGTTCAGCATGGGCTGCGCTGTGGCTGGGATGCTGAAGAGACTGATTGGTAGGTGAGTCGGCACGGGCTGCTGTGTGGCAGCCCTGCCCCGCAGCCCCCTTTCTGGCCCGCTGCCCTGTCCTCAGCCACCGGGCCAGTGGGCCAGCTGAAGTTTAGGACCCAGGCTTCCATTTAGACCAAAGAATGTACTGTCTGCCCCCAAAGGGTTCATGTTCACGTTTCTATACCTGTGCTTTACCTTCTCATAGAGGGTCAGAGGAGGGGCAGAGTGGACACTGTCAGAGGTTGGGAGGGGTTGCTGCTCTGACCCCTAAGAACTGAGCACGGTAGTGAACACCAGGTGGGAGCCGCACACCAGGTGGGAGCCGCACATGAGTTGTCACCAGGCCCTGTTTGTAGGTGACTCTGCTCAGTGGGCAAGGAACAGGGCTGGATCTGCAAGCCAGATCCCTCGGTCTCTTGTCTTCCTGTGTCTCGATAGTATTGACACCTGAAACCTGGGTTTTGCCACTGAACTTACAACAGCCCTATAGGGTTTTCTGGGCACGGGGTGTCATTACCATCCTAGCCTTATGGAAGGGCCTGCAGGGCCCTGGCTGCAGTGGGGCCCCCAGGGGCTGGCGTATCACTGAGTGCTTAGGAAGTTCCTCAGTTCAGGGTACCATGGCAACAGGAAGACCTTGCTGGGGGCTCCTACCTCCACTCTACAGATGAGAAGGACACTAAGGCTCCGAGGGTCTGTGATGCACCTGGGCCTGAAGGTGGACCCCTCAGACTGCAGCCTTGGGGCCTGTCTCACTTTGCCGAGCTGCTTCCAAGGCCCTACAGCCCTCTGGGCCTTTGCTTCCACATCTGGAAAACTCAGTTTAAGAGCCTCACAGGGGCTCTCATGGTCGGCTTGTCCTCAAGGATGTAGGACCTCTGATGAGATCCCGAGGCCCAGGAATGTGTGAATGTGGGCACCTGTCTACCTTCTGAGCCTGCTGCAGGGACCAGTTCGTGACTAGCCCATTCCTGGGAAAGGGGGAGGAGAGTGGGAGGAGCCACGTTCCCTCTGGAGCTGTCAGAGCTGGGCCCAGGGCGCAGTGCATGTCCACACCCATATTCCTAGAGGGCCCGAGTTTTCCAAACAGGCTGCCTTCCTGCTCTGGTGGCGGTCAGCTTTGGGAGTTGGGCTGTTCCTGCCGGCCGGGGCGCTTCCGTGGGCCTGGCTCTGTCCACCCAGGCACCTCACGGTGGACAGTCCCTGCTCTGACCCAGACACGCGTGGGGGGGGGTGCCATCTCTTGGCGTTTGGGCCTAGCTGGCCTGTTTCTCAGAGTTCCTACCTGAGCGTTTGAAGGGTACGGAGGTTAGCCCCAGGAAGTTAGTCTAGGACAGCCAGAAAATCATTTTAATTACTCTGCTCTGCTTCAGAAATGACTGCTGAATATGCCTGCACGCGGAAGCAGTTTAACAAGAGCCTCAGTGAATTTGGATTAATTCAGGTACTGAGGGTTGAGCCCCACACCTGCTGGTCTCATCTGTGTGTGCTGTGTGCTCTCAGGGTCTGTGCTGGTGGCTCTGTGCTAGTGGCTGAGGACACAATAGACCTGCGTCGCACACGGCTGCCTGATATGTGCTGGGGCTTGTCTCCAGGCAGGGAGGCTTCAGTCCCAGTGACCTTCCCCACTGGCTGGCAGCTTTGGGTCTCAGCACACACAAAGCATTTCTTGATTGTTTTTCTCCAATGCCCCAGGAAAAGTTTGCGCTGATGGCTCAGAAGGCCTACGTGATGGAAAGTATGGCCTACCTCACTGCGGGGATGCTAGACCAACCAGGCTTCCCTGACTGCTCCATCGAGGCTGCCATGGTGAAGGTGATTCTGGCACAGCCAGATGGGGGGTGGAAATGCTCCTTGGTTGTGCCTTCCCACCCCCAGTGTTGCCTGGCATCTCCCTCTGCTCCTTAGCTCATAGCTCATCATCGGCCCAGTATTTGTGACATGTGCACCATGTGCCCGGCACACCTCAGGCTGCAGCTGGGTGGGCCAGAATGCATGGGGCAAGCTGCCCAGGACTGTGTCCACTGAGCCAGTGTCTCCCCAGCAGGATAGGTGCCAAGTTGTCACCAGTTGATCACCGGTGTATAGCAAAAGGAGAAAAGGGGCCACGTATTAGGACTTCCTGGCAATATAAAATAGAGCTGGGCTTCCTTGGAAAGGAGTGTCTTTTGTTCTGAGCATATGACTTTCCTACTTTTTGGTGTCAAAATTTCCTTCTATGAAGCATTTGAGGTAAATACTAGTGTTTTCTGTGCTTTTGTTGGGTTAGGAAGTATCATTTCCAGCTATAGTATAAAAGATGACGACCGTGCTTTGGTCCCCAAGATTGTTTTAAAACTGGTCTCCTGAGAGAAGCAAGGAGAAGTGTGAGAGCTCAGAGAAGTGAACACTGTGTCAGGAGGAGACTGCCCGAAGTCAGGACCGTAGGGGGTGTGTGGTCTGCGCTGACCCCTGTCCTGGGGGATGTGGGGGGCTTCTGCATCCTTCGATCACGCAGGCTCCCGTTGCCCCTCGGCAGTCACCATGCAGTAATGGCCCATGAGCAGCCTAGAGATGGGCATGGCAGTGTGCACGCTCACATGTGGATAGACGTGTTTATGTGGGGGGCAGGCCCAGGGGCAGCCAGGTGGTCCAAGTGCAGAGGGCAAGCTGCCGGCGAACGGGGTGGCAGGGGTGGGTCAGGCTTCCAGAGGTGAATCTGAGTGGGCTGTAAAGGACAAGAGTCCCCCAACTGTGGGAGGTGAGCAGTGCGCCCTTCCACCCCAAGGGAGACGCAGAGGTAGGAAGAGTCACAGTGGGAGGTAGGAATCACAGCTGGTCAGTGAGGCCGAGGAAGGAAACAGGGCTCACCTGAGGCCACCCTGTGTCAGGGCCCCTGCCTGGCTGGCCTCATCCCAAATCCTGGGTCCACACCCAGCCTCCCACCACTTCCCCAGCTACTCAGTCCCCGTGGCCGAGTCCCTTCTTGGAATGGACTTGGACCGGCAACCCCATGCTGACCTTGCCCCTGGGCCCATCGTAGGTGTTCAGCTCGGAGGGCGCCTGGCAGTGTGTGAGCGAGGCGCTGCAAATCCTCGGGGGCTCAGGCTACATGAGGGGCTTCCCATATGAGCGTGTCCTGCGCGATGCCCGCATCCTGCTCATCTTCGAGGTGAGTGCTTGCCACCCACCCTGCTCCCCAAGTGAGGCTGCTTTCAAAGCAGTGGCTTCTGCGGCTGGTGAGCCGTGCCCTCCTGGTCACTCAGCCAGCCCTGGCTGCCCCAGCAGAGTGGCCTCTGACCTCCATATTGCTGTCCACAGGGAACCAATGAGGTTCTCCGGATGTACATTGCCCTGACGGGCCTGCAGCACGCTGGCCGCATCCTGACCACGCGGGTCAAGTAGGTGCATTCCCGCTGTCTGTTCCTCAGGCCCCTGCCCAGCAGAGGCACGTCCTGGGGCAGTGTGAGGAGGGGCTGCCGTGCTGGGGGAGGCGGTACAGCCCACATGGCTCAGCTCACTTGCAGGTTTTGGGTGGGGGGATGGCGGTGCAGAAGCCCGGGCCATTAGGTGCAGGGCCGTGCACCCCAGGCTCCTGAGCTTCGCCTTTACCTGCTGGAGCAGTGGGGCTGGAAGGGAGCTGCCCAGGGAAGCCCTCACCGCCTCCTTTGGCAGCTTCTGTCTTCCAAAGTGCAGGAGCTGGGTTTTCAGAAACTAGGGAATGAGAGCTGGTCCCTTTATGGCTTTGGGTGATCAGAGGGGTCGCTGCCCTGAGGTGTGAGGTGCCCAGGGGCTGCGTTGCTGGGCAGTGGGAACCAGCAGCAGGGCCTGAGGCCATGGGCTTCCTGCAGGGAGCTTAAGCAGGGCAATGTGAACACCATCATTCAGACTGTCAGCCGGAGGCTTCAGGACTCACTGGGCCGAACTGTGGACCTGGGGCTGACAGGGAAGCTTGGAGCTGTGCACCCCAGTGTTGGGGTGAGTGAGTGAGCCCAGCAGCTGCACCTGTCCCACCCTCACCCCCCACTGCATCCGGGTACCCTCCTGTCCATTATCTCCTTCCAAGAGGGGATGTGACCAGGGGTGTTGGGGAGGACCAGCCAGTCCAAGGGGCACCTCATGGCCTCCATCTCTACCCTCACATGGTGGAGGATGGCCCCACCTGGTCACAGGGCCTAGGCCTCGAGTCCCCGGCCATGTCCATCTGGATGGGATGGGAGGGGTACCATGGGGTGAGGTGCTAAGCCGAGTCCTTCTGTCTGGTGTTCCAGGACAGTGCCAACAAGCTTGAGGAGAACGTGTATTCCTTTGGCCGCACCGTGGAGACTTTGCTGCTCCGATTTGGCAAGGTGCCCAGGCTCCCGCCAGACGGGGGGACAGGAGGCCCTCCAGCTGGGGGTCAGGGAGATGGGGAATTTTGCCAAGAGACCACTTTAGGGACCAGGCCTAGAAAGAAATGTTGGTCACTGTGGAGGGGGGACGGGGGCTGGCTGAGGCTGCCAGTCCCAGGGGCCACTCAGCTAGGTGGGGGGAGCCTTGGAGGTGACCAGAGGCTCCTTGGAGTTGAAGTGGGCAGCCCCCTGGCCCACATCTGGGGGCCTGATCCGTGAGGCTCTTGCTGCTGAGGGTGCTGCGAGCACGTAAGCACTGGCCCCTGGCCCAGCCAGGTTTCTGGGGACCTGGTCTCACCTTGACCCCTGCCCACATCTAGACAGACAGACAAGGGAGAACAGAGGCAACTGGTGTGCCAGCCTCCCATGGCCATTGTAAGGCTCAGGGATGGGCTGTGTGTGCCAGTGGGTCCTCCAGCTCCGGCCTCTGTCCCCAGACTATTGTGGAGGAGCAGCTGGTGCTGAAGCGGGTAGCCAACATCCTCATCAACTTGTACGGCATGACGGCCGTGCTGTCACGGGCCAGCCGCTCCATCCGGCTGGGGCTCCGGAACCACGACCATGAGGTGAACCTGCCCAGTCCCCTGCCAGCTTTGTCCTGCCCCACTTTAATGAGTCCTGGTGGTTGGGGTGGCTGAGTGATGGGGTCCCAAACCCAGCGCCCTCCACCCTGCTGGCGAGGCCAGATGCACTCACTGAGCACCTACTGTGTACCAGGTCTTTGTGCATTGCCCCACAGTAGCCCACGACCACGAGAGTTCTGATGTCCCTCTCATATTGGAGGAAACAGAGATGTTGAGTAACTTGCTTTTGGGAACAGAGCCAGTTTGGGTCCAGGCTGGAAGTAGAATTTGCGGTTGAGTTGTGGGCAGGCCTCTTGACCCCAGCCAAGCCCCCGGATTGGCTGACAGACTGAGCTCCTGGAAACAGCCATCAGCGAGGGAGCCCAATGGCCCAGTGACCCCAGGGTTTTCAGGACCATCCTGTCTGACCTTGGTTCTGGCAGGTTCTGTTGGCCAACATCTTCTGCCTGGAAGCTTATTACCAGAATCTCTTCACCCTGTCTCAGCTGGACAAATGTAAGTAAATGTCTTGGGAGAGGGAGGAAAGGGTCTGATTCCAGGTCACTGTGGATGGTGAGCTGTTTGGGGACCCCCCACCTGCTGCCTGGAAGCTGAGGCGGCCTGTTCCCTGCACTCCAGCTAGCATGAACCTGGCCAGAGGGCCTAGACCATGTGGAGGGGAAGAAATGGCTCCTTCACAGGGCCATGGGTCTTTTATTGAGCAAGTGCCATCTCCCCACAAGATCTGAGGTTCCTAGGGCATAACAGGATGAGCCTTTTGTCCTTGGTTTCTCCCTGCAGCCCAGAGTCACTTCCTCGGGGGGGTAGGCAGCAGGCTCACCTCAGAGTGCCGTGGTGGGTGGGCTGACTTTGTTGGGGAAAAGAATGTGTATTATCACAGTGCAGAAGCATCACATACTCCTCTTTTCCCCTTCCAGATGCCCCAGAAAATCTAGATGAACAGATTAAGAAAGTGTCCCAGCAGATCCTAGAGAAGCGAGCCTACGTCTGTACCCACCCTCTGGACAGGGTGTCCTGAAGCAGAGGGACAGTTCCCTGCTGCCCCAGGCCACGGCCGGTGCCAGACAACTCTCGGCTCTTCCAGAAGGCAGAGAACTCGGGGTGTTCCCATGCTGAACTCTCTCCCCCCTCGGCCCCAGAAGGGCTTTCTCCTGGCCTGAGGGAGCCTCTTCCAGGCTTCAGCCTGCCGGTGCTGCTGGACGGGACGCCAGGCCCTGAACAGAGATGGAGAGAGTGCAGTCGTGAGACCTTGGGTTTGGGGCTAATCTGCTAGTTCAGGAGACATCACAGTGGAAACGGGCTTGAGGTGGCAGGGATACTACTTCCTCCAGCCTGCACACTCTCACTAGGAGCAAAATACACTTAACCATGTACCAGGAACCCGCCAAGAATATAAAGTGGCAATTTGTGTTTACCCTTCTAGCCCTTACTATCCCATTTTTCCTCAGGATGGATCACAGCACCCTGACCCCAAGGGGCCACCCTCTGGTGCTGGTGTCCAGGCCCCTTCGTCCTCTCCCTCCAAGAAGTGCCCTGCAGGCAGAGGGGCCAGAGTGGGGCCCCAGGGTTAGGAATCCTCGCCTCTGCTCTTGAGGTGTCATTGCCCAGCCTTCGGGTTCCTCCAGACTCTGCTGTGTCCTGACATACACTGGGTCCCCACTGTGCTTGGGCAGCAGGCATCAAGCTCTTGTCCACCTCGGGGTGGTTTGGGGCTGAAAATGCCCATTACAGCTGTTGCCCCAGAGCAGGAGGCAGTAACCAGGCTCTCTTTTTCCTCCAAAAGTCTATGTCTTTGCTGCTGACGTCAGAGGAGCCTGAGCATTCTGCTCAGGGGGTGTTGGTAACTGCCCTGCGTAGGTGAACATTTTCAATACTCTAACTGTGATAGTAACTTTCCAAAGGAACACAAAGTACATGGTTGGCATGGAAGCACTGGGAGAGTACTTAGCCTCTCGTACAGGTGGGGCGGCTGCAGGGGCTTCCCGGAGGTGAGCCCCCTGCCAGCAGCAGCTCTCACTCTGGCCCGTGGAGTTTCGAAGGCCGCCGGTGCAAGTGTCCCTTTCTGCATCTCTCTTGAAGGTGGTGTGGGGAGGGGAGACAAAACCTTGGTCTGTCTCATCTTGCTTTCCTGGAAAGGTTTCTCTGCCCACAGGGTTGTCAGGTAAACTCCTGTCTTTATGCCTGAACTAAGGGTCTAGCTCTGTTAACCAACAAAGGGATCAAGGGGAGAAAACGGGACTTGGACGGATTGGTGTGGCCACCCCACCCTTCCAGGCTCCCTCCCTGCCCAGCAGAAGGAGAGGGCAGTGTCTTGAAGCAGTGCGGGAGTTGGAAGGTCAGAAATCCCTTGGACGTGTCTCCCAGCTGCCCCATTTTATAGGCCCAGAGCAGTGAAGGGACCCATCCAAAGTCACACAGCAAGTTCGATTGTTAATACCGACCCATTCTTAGTCCTGCTGTCCAAGCATAGGAAGTTGGGACATCTATGCCAAAACAGGTGCCGCTGAAGACACAGAGGCACTGCCTGCACACAACACTGCCCCCCAGGCTCCGCTTTGCCCAGGTCTCATGTTACCTGTGAGAGGCTTCAGTGCTGGAGAAAGCGGCAGGTCCAGGACAGGCGCTGGCTTCATGTAGAGGTCAAAGTCCTGGCAGCGCCGGTCCCAGCTCCACCGCTCCTGGTCCAGCACAGGTGCCAGCACATTAGCCAACAGTGCGTTTTCCCTCCATTCCTAAATCAGAGACAGTTAAGTTAGGGGGAGGTCCTTGTGCACACCCCACCCGGACCCTGCTCCTCCCAAGGGACCTCATTCACGTCTCTGACAGAGCCAGTGGATGGCAGCCTGAGGTGACAGTCATTGTCTGTGCTGTGAAGACCTGTCACTTGGAATCCACTGGCTGTTAGCCAGGCCTGCCAGGATTTCTTCCTGGCTTTCTTCTCCTCTTCTGAGTCCTGAGGCTCCACCATGGCTGAGAGGTAATCCTGAGAGTAGGTGCATCGCTTCCTCGGCTCCTGGAAGAGGCGAACGTGTGGCTGGTAGCAGACCTGAGCAGGGCTGAACTCCCCTCTGGTTTCTAAGTAGGTGCCAGAAACAGGGCAGGGCAGATCTGACCACACCAACAGTGCGTTCAGATTCACTGAGCTGTGCCCTTTGACAGAGGAGCCCTTCTCTAAAGCTGCTGTGCGCTGGAAGCCAACGCTTTGCCTCCCGGGCGGCAGCTGTTCCTAATCTGCTGTAGCAACATGCCCCTGAGGTGGGGAACCTGTGACTTTAGGCCGAGGCTCTGCTCTAGTGGAAGAGTCACATCTAGCGTGGGAATGGGTGTACCTCTCTCACCCTGCACCGGATCCTCGTCTGCTCCCCCGGCTGGCTGCCATTCTTCTGCACACCGGAGCAACCCGCTGACCGCCAGGGCAAGATGGTTGGGGGGAAGAGCCCACAGGGCTGGCCAGCAGCCGCTGCCCCAGCTGGAGCGTGCACACCGGCAGTTCCTGCTCTCTACACACTCACCTTGGCCATCTCTCGATACAGCTCCTTGGCAAGCTCTGTGGAATTCGGGGTCTGAATACTGTAGTTATAGGCATCATTGTTGGCAGGCGCTGAAATTCTGATCACCTTCACCGTGGACTTTGGAGACTTCTTGCTGACCTGGTAGGCTCCCGTGATATTTTTCTGAAGAAAGAGACACCAGCCATTACCCACACAAGGCCCCCTCAGCCCCAGCTGTCAGTTCGTATGCAGGGGTGTGATCCCTGGACCGTGGCTGGGGTACAGGGTCTGGGCTCCTGAACACTGGAGCCGCCAGGCCATCACAGCCCTGCCAAAGGGCCCCCAGCTATCCACGGTGGGATGCAGAGGACCAGACACATCTGCCTGAGGTCTCTGTAACTGGATGGCATCCAGCCACAGCTAGAACTTGTGGCTCAGGTGGGCAGAAGTGGGAGAGACTTGAAGCGTTGGTGCCTGCAGCAGAAGTTACAGAGAGCAGCAAGGACCAACATCCCTGACTGTGCTCGCCTTTCAGGGCTGAGTGTGTGGGGGAGTATCACCCCCTTCTCTGCAGAGCCCCAGGACGGTCTGTGGGCTTCCTGGAGGAAAGAGAAAAGGTAGCAGGGAAGTGCCTGGGACGCAGGAAAGGAAGAGAAAGCTCACTCTGAGTTGGTTAGGTACTGTGCAGCGTAGCTGCCCCTTTGTGGGCCTGTTCACCTGCAGCAAAATAACTATCTTCTGTTTTTTTTCTTTAAAAGCTTTTTTTTAGCTCAAGGTGGTGGTGATGGTGACCTTCACTCACATAGTCACCGTGTCTTTAGGCCATGCCCAAGTGTTTCGACTTTGGGGTCTTTGAGGAATTTCTACAAGAAAATAGAAAGTAATCAAGGGAAGGACTAAGTAAATCTAATTCACACACATGGGAGGGAGTCTGTTCAGGCAGCAGGAGCCCTGTGGCAGCAGGTACGGAGGGCAGAGGGAGGCCACTAGAAGGCTCACTGGACGGGGGACAACACCCGGGCCTGCGAGCGCCTTCCCTGTGGCTGCTGGCGGGGCCATCCGAGGCAGGATCCTGCGTGGCCTATAAACAGCTTCAGAATGTGTAGTAGTAGTTTCTCCAGTTTTCCTGGTTGTCCTCAGGGGGAAGGCTGGTCTGAGAGCCTTCCATCAATAAAAGTAAAAAGTCCTGCTCCTTCCAAACCCTAGAGCCGGTGGGTCACCAGCTGGGGAGACAGTTCCCCTTCCCGGGCTGCCACTTCCTTGAAGCTGAGGCTCTGAGTGAAAGCCTGGCTTGGAGGAATGAAAACGGTGGCCATGAGCTCGGGATGCCTGGGATTCTCTGCTCTGGGGCCAATCTGGACTCACAACCAAAGTAACCATATGCCTGAAAAGTACAATGCAAAAGACAGGCGACAAACCAAACAAGTGGAGCACAATTATTGGAAGGGATGGGGTAAGAATTTAAGATAAATGTAATAATCACTCCTAAAAGACATGTGAGGATATTATCAATATGAAGAAGACAGACCAAAGAAATGTTGGATATAAAAATACTTGAAATAAAGGACACGAATGATTGAAACACACTGCAGAAGTGATTAACAGCTGTAGAATGCATGGGTGAGCTGAAATTCATCTGGAGGTTTGCTCCCAGAAGCATAAAATGATAAAGTTGGAAACTCTGAGTTTAGAGGATGGAAATAGAAACATGTAAATAGATGTTTGGAAGGGTAAAGTGAAAGGAAGAGTAAAGTGAAAATAGGAAGATTTGAAAAAATAATGATTGTCAGAATAGATAAGGAAAATTTCATGCCTGGAAACACTTCGTGAGATTTAAAATGATGATAAATTCTGAAAACTTCCAGAGAAAGAAAGCAGGCTACTTGTAAAGAAAAAAAACATCTGATTGAACATCAGATTCCCTAACGGCAGTACTGTGACCAAGTAGATAAAGTATACTTGAACCAACAATTTTATATCCAGGCAAAATGTCCATTTAAGTGTGAGGGCATAGTCTCAGGTTTACAGGCTTTTCAAGGAGGAAAACCCAGGAGCATCTTGACAAAGTTGGCAAGTGATGGTGTCCAGTATCTCAGTAAAGTTTTCTTGTCTAAAAAGGACCAGGAAAAATTTAGTATCATAGTAACCTAGAACCAAGATCTTAGCAACTTACATGTACAAGGGATGGTGGGATGTGGGTAGGAGATGGGATAAAAGGGTTGTAAGTGTGCAGTTTGTTTTACATAGGAAGCTATAAGTTTAAGAATTCAACTTAAAGATAACCACCTTAGGAACAAAGAATGTGTAACTTCTACATCAGCAGGAGAAAACCTGATCTATCCAAAGAAAACAGGAAAGGAGGGGTTAAAAAAAAAAGCCTACTCTAACAGTAATCACAGTAAATGGGTTAAGCTTGCCAGTTAATCTCAGATCTTCTTAAGCTACCAATATGCTGTCTAGAAAAGCTACTTTAGATGAAAAGATACAGGTTTGAAATTGAAGGAAGAACATAAACTAGGCAGAAAGGGACCAGAAAGCCAGAACAAAAAAGCCGGAGAGGCATTCTCAATAGCTACATAATTCAAGATAAAAATTAGCAAAAGACGCAAAAAGGGACTGTATAGGGAAAAAGAAGAAAAGAGCAGGAAAATACACTGTCATGAACATTTGCAAACCTAACAGTATAGCTCTCAAAATATATTAAAAGCTGACAGGATCATGGAGAAAAATACACATCTGTTTGAAATTACTGGAGAGCAATCAAAGCAGCCAGGATCGGGGAGGCCAAGAATCTGAGGAGAAGGGTCCTTTGGCATATGGTTACTTTGGTTGTGAGTCCAGATTGGCCCCAGAGCAGAGGACACTTGAGTCCACTTTTTTAGTTTTCTCAGGGCATTTGCTGATTCCTATATTGCACATGTATGAGATGAATGAGGCAGATAACCCAAGCAGAAAAAGCAGAGGTTCAGAGGTTAAACACATATTTTAGCAAGTCTCACTGTGCTAGGGGAACAAACATCAGATTTCAGAGTATGCCAGAGAGGGAAGGCCCTGCTAACACCCTAGATCTTCCATTCAGAATTCAGAAAATCTACACTTTAGAAATAAGGGCAAACCAGAAGTCAACCCATTAAGGGAATTTGTCATTTATCTGCCAGAAGAAAATAGATACCAAGAGCCTCTATGGTTTTTCCTACAGAATCCTCACCATTTAATAAAAACTAATGCTCTAAAGCAATCTTACAGGCTCAGTGCAGTCCCTATCAAAATTCAAGGCTATTTTTCAAATTAATAGGGACGAACAATGCTAAAATTTGTATGGAATCACAAAAGGACCTGAGTAACCAAAGCAATCTTGAGAAGGAAGAACAAAGCTGGAGGCATCGTGCTTCCTCATTTCAAACTATGTGACAAAGGAGCATGTCATTGGCCTAAAACCAGGCACTTTGATCAACGGGACCGAATAGCCCAGGAATACACCCATGTGTGGTCAATTTATGACAAGCCAAGAGTATACAATGGGGAAAAGACAGTCTTTTCAATAAATGGCACTGGGAAAACTGAACAGCCACATGCAAAAGAAACTGGACCACTGTCATACCATATTCAAAAGTTAACTCAAAATGGACTAAAGACTTAGGTTTTAAGTGCCTTGACATTGTCCTAGTGAAGATTTTTTGGATTTGACACCAGCAAAGGCAACAAAAGCCAAGAACAAACAAGTGAATCTATATCAAATGGAAAAGCTTTTGCACAGCAAAAGAGACCATTAACAAAATGAAAAGGCAAACTACAAAATAGGAAAAATATTTGCAAATCACATGTCTGATAAGGGGTTAATATCCAAAATACATAAAGAACCCATACAACTTAATAGTCAGAAACACCCAAATAACATGATTAAATGAGCAGAGGATCTGATTAGGATGTTTTTCCTGAAAAGACATGCTAAGAGCAAGAAATAGGTTAAAAGATGTCCAACATCACTAATTACCAGGAAAATGCAAATCAAAACCACAGTGAGATATTACCTCACACCCAAATAGCTACTATCAAAAAGATAAGAAATAACAAGTGTTGGTGAGGATGTGGAAAAAAAGTAGCCCTTGTGCCCTTTTGGTGGGAATGTAAACTTGTACAGCCACCATGAAAACAGTTTCCTCAACAAACTGAAAGAAATACCACATGATCCAGCAGTTCTGTTCCTGGGTAGTCATCCAAAGCAAACAAAAATTCAGAAGATACATGCACTGCCCCCATGTTCATTACAGCATTATTTACAATAGCCAAGACATGGAGGCAACCGAATTCATCCATTGTCCATCAGTGGATGAATGGATAAATACACACACACACACACTCTAGAATGTTAGTCATTAAAATAATCAAATCTTACCATTTGTGACAGCATGGATGGAACTAGAGGACATTATGCTAAGTAAAATAAGAGAAAAACAAATACCAAATGATTTCTCTTATTTGTGAAGTCTAAAAAAAGAAAAGTAAAAACACCGAGCTCATAGATACAGAGAACAGTACTGGTGGTTGCCGGAGGCAGGTGGAATGGGTGGAGGGACTCTCAAGGTACAAACCTTCAGTTATAAATAAGTCACGGGTGTCATGTGCAGCATGGTGACTGCAGTCAGAAATACTGTGTTGTATATTTGAAAGTTGCGAAAAGATTTTAAAGTTCTTGTCATAGGAAAAAAGGGTTTAATGGTGTGTGGTGATGGATGTTAACTAGACTTACTGTGATGATCATTTTGCATATATACAAACATGAAATCATTATGTTATACACCTGAAACTAATGTCAGTTATAGCTAAAAAAAAATTTTTTTTGAAACACATTCCAGGAAGCAGGACCAAATAATGAAAACCAAAAGGGAAGGCAGCTGGCAGAGACAGATCCAAGGGAGTCCGGGTAGTAAAGCTGCCAGACAAGAATGTTAATCATGATCCATATAAAGAAGAAAATAAATGAAAAGGTGGAGAATTTAACCAGACACCTGGAGTCTATAGAAAAATCAAATGGGAGTCTTATAACTGAAAAAATGATTAAAATGATAATGCACTGGATGTGTTTAGTAGCAGATTGGACATACAGAAAATAGATGGGTTGAAAACAGATTGATGCACACACCCACAAAAAGGTAGAAAGTAAAAAGCATGAGATATATGTA